CGACAAGACAGTACGGCTGTGGGAGGCGGCCACAGGGACGTGTCGCAGCACGCTGGAGGGCCATTCCGATTACATTTTCGACATGACCTTTTCTTCTAATGGCCAGGTCCTCCACACTAATACTGGCGATATATCTCTGTCACCCCTCTTAATCATAGTATCCTCTCCTTGGCAACAAGAGCAGTCTTCTAATATCCTGGTGCAGGACCAGTGGGTATTGCGCAACCAGCAACGCTTCCTATGGCTCCCGTCTGAGTATCGAACAAGTAAAACAGCAGTATACACTAACGTAATATGTTTAGGTCTCTCATCTGGCCGTGTTGTCTTACTTGTAGTTCTATAACGTACCTCACGGGCGAGTGGCCGGCCCGGGCGAGTGTCCGGATTTTGCCAAGACCACACCAAACTTCAAACAACCCGCGATGTCTCAACGCAAAAAGGCTTAAAGCGTCTTAAAGGAACTAGATATATAGCTTGCAATCTAGGCTCTTAAACAAGACACAACTCTTACTATTCTACGCGCTACAACAATCTATAAGGTGTTAGAAAGAATGCTAAGACAACAACGTGCTAGAACGCTCTTAAGACGCGATTGTAAGGTCAACTTAATAAAGCTGACAAGCACTGAAGAGGAGGTAATTATGCAGCATATTCTGAAGCTGGACGAGCGAGGATACCTACCCCAGCTTACTAATGTAGAGGATATGGCCAACTCTCTACTCACTGAGCGCCACCAGCCTCCTGTTAGCAAGAACTAGGCTAGCACGTTTGTTAAGCGTCGCCTAGAGCTCACAGTCAAGTTCAATCAAAAGTACGACTACAAGAGAGCCCTCTGCAAGGATCCTAAGGTAATCTAGGGCTAGTTCTGCCTAGTAGAGAATACTAAAGCCAAGTATAGTAACGTACCTCACGGACGAGTCGATCAACAGACGAGTCGATCACTTTTGCCAAGCCCTCACCAAAATCTGACCTATTATGGCTCACAACACCACACTTTGGCCCTGCAAAGTGCAGTACGGCCTAGATTACTATTCAGAGACCTCTTCTACATTAATCTTGCACGTTCGCGCGTTGTGTCTAGTCTGATTGCACCTTCTACAGCGCCTTTGGCTCAGCTCACCCTCTTGAGCGCGCACCCGCTTCTTTGGCTTCTTCCCATCACTACACGCCCCAAACTCCTTTAGAGCTGCTAGTTGCTGCCTATCTCCCACTATTAGGGTCCCCTCCTTCTAAACCTGCTTTCTTTTGTGTGATTTTTGTTGCGTTGCAGCCTTATTAGCTACTTAAAGCTGACTAATTTCCTGTTAGGCTAAAACTAGCTTGTGTGCAATAATTGCTGCCCCCTTTAACACCTTCTTAAACGCCTTAACTATAGATGTAGGAGAGCTGTCTATATACATCTAAATCCTTGTCTTCACCAGCGTTAATTGCGACCTAAGTTCTAGGGTGTTGCTAGGGGTCTGCAACTGCTAGGGCTTATTGTTAATAGGCAATAGTAGTGATAGAGTCTGCAGCTTTATATTAAGGCTGCTTATAACCTGTTCTAGCTTAAATAGGACTAATCTAGCGCCTTAGAACCCTCCTTAGATGTTGCTAGGAGTAAATACTACATTATAGGCTGCTTTAAAGCATGGCAGGAACTCTGTCTTTGTAATGTAGTTAATCTAGTTATGCATAAGCATTTTAACTTAGCGCCTATACAACTTCTTTAAAGGGGTAAAACAACCTATATTAAGTGGCTGTAGAAGGTGCAATAAGTAAGCAGGCATACACAAGGTTACAATCTTGTTATCCTTGCAGTATTGCTAGAATTAGAGCAACTTGTGGCTCTTATGGCCATTAATTACTAGCAAATAGTGTGTACCTATAGTGCGCTCCTTTAAATAAGCGTTAAAGTGCTTTAACTACTTAAAACTAAGCTTATTAGTAGTCTAGCTGTTATTAGAAACTCTAATAACCTAATCTTAGGGCAGGTCTTCCTCCTTGTACTAGCTAGAGAGGTAGTGGCGCGCCTTAAAGATAATAAAGGGCAGAATAGCCTATCCTTTAGCATTAATGCCCTGTATAACTATTACCCACTCCTAGTTGCCTAGCTAGACTGACTTTGGCCTTCCTTGTCTCTCTAAAGCTATAACAACTGCTCCTGAGGAGATCTAGCCTATTATAAAGCCTGTCTTGTTAAAGTTGTACGTGTCTTTATCCTAAATGCCATACTTGGCTTTAACGTTGGCTACTAGGCTAAACCAGCCCTGCAGGGCCTCAGGATCCTCACAGAGGGCTCTCTTGTAGTCATACTTGCGATTAAACTTGACTTTAAGCTCTAGGTGTCGCTTAACAAACGTACTAGGCCAGTTTGCGCTAATAGGGCCCAGATTGCGCTCAGCGTGCAGAGAATTGGCTATAGCAGCCACATCTGCGAGCTGAGGGGCAAATCCTCGCTTATCTAGCTTAAGTATGTGCTTAACAATCACCTGCTCCTCATTGTTGTCTAACCCTCGTAAGTTAGGCATAGTATTGCCTCTTGAAGGTTGTCCTGCGCCTTAATTGCTTAGTGTGGCTTAAGGAACGTTGTAGATAGCTGCAGCGCGTCGCTAGGAGAGAGTCGCGTCTTGTTTAAGAGCTTGAAGCGCAAGCTGTATCTAAGCTTCCTTTAACGCGTTAATATTAGGTTATTGTTAAGACATTAGTATAGAAGAAGTACTTTGGTGGGGGCTTAGTAAAAGTGATCGACTCGTCCGTTGATCGACTCGTCCGTGAGGTACGTTATCCTAGATAAAGACACCTATAATTTTAACAAGTCTAGGTTTATAATAGGTGTTATATTAATAGGAGCTGTTGTTACAGGCTTAGAGCGTTATAGAAGACTAAAGACAGTATAGCAGGGCAACTAAGAGTAGACTAGCATTATCTAGGGTAGGCTGGCGGAATGGGTATACTCCAACGTCCTTCGTGGGTACCCCCCAAAACTTTGTCAATAATACATGGATTCTAGC